ATTTTTGGAATCACAAAATCGGGAATAACCAAAGAATATGCAAAATAGAACCTGAAAATTAAGGAACTATCTAATCATTTTATTAAATTTAAATTTGTTGATTAAATGCCCGTATATTCTTAGGATTTTGGCCAAGAAATTGAGGACGAGCTTGTATCCCTGGCAATATATACAAGTCTATAGCAGTATATATTTATATGTGCGGATGTGGATTGCAGGTGTCCTTGTCTCGTTGTCGTCAGCGGGCTCATTCGTCTCCCATCGGTGCACACAAATTGCCAAAGTTGCGGACATTCTCTCGCATAGGCAAAACTTTCGTTCGCCGCCCGATGCTGGAATTAATTAAAATACAAAATGGCCACAAAGGCGATGGTGGGCAATCCAATCCGTGACAGGATCACAACCGGATGTGTGTGCTCTGAGGGGACGGGGGACGGGGGACGGGGGCTCGGGGTTTCCCTGCGTTTCTGAGGCCAGTTTCGCCTCTAATCGTTTTGCTGCGGCTGGCACTTCCATCAAACACGCTTCCGCAGTGCATATCCTGTTTGTAATCGATTTGGAAATGTGCAGCAAGGACATTGTCCGGCAAACGACGAGAAACGGAGGAAGGAAAGCGAGTTACGACAGGGCCCAGAAGAAAAGTAGAACAAAAAGGGAAAAAATTAGCAATAAACGTAAGCGCACGCGATGTCCTGCCCACTTCCACAAACTCCTGCTGAAAAGCGCTAAAATCAATAAAATGCTTGTTGCTCCGACACAAGAAGTCGCAACACCAGAGGCAAAAACATTTATACAATGCCAACGACGTCGCGACTTTTCCCCAACATCTTTCAATGTACAATTATATTGGTTGGCTCCTGCCACGCCCCCCTCCCGCACCCCCTCCTGAAATGAAAAGGGGTACTTCGTCGCTGTGCAACATAAATAGTTGCGTTTTTGCCTCCACTTTAAGTGCACGGGAAGAAATAAATATCAGTTCAGTTGTAATCGATGGGTCGATAAATTCAATTTGTAGTTCTAACAAAGGATGATGTGGAATGGCAAAATAGAATAGGAATATTTGAACGTGGTTACAACTTTTATTTTGCATTGTCTGAAACTGTAGGATGTACAAAATGTTATTAGGTAACTTCTTAACTGACTTTAAAACAATAGTAATTTCGGTGCAACCCCTTTATTTTCTTCTCAAAGAAGACTCCATTTTTTTCACAGAAAGAAATTTAATGTAATTTCTGAAGGTGCCATTGCAAAAATGTATCAGATGAGTTTTTGGCTTTTTCGTACTTTAAAGCTTAAATGATTGTATTAAAAAAGAATTGACCATATAAATGAGATTAAATATATTCCAGACTAATCACTAAATTTATCAATTTTGCTCAGTATTTACGCAATTAAACAAAAACAAACAAATAATAAAACAAGACATTTAAGGTCTAGAATCTTCTCGACATGTACGAATTTCTTATTTAATTTCCTGCTATATTGAAGATTACTATTCAAATTAAAGTAAATAAGCTATTGACTTTAAATCAATAAGGATCTCTGTGGCTTTACCAGCACAAACTGATCTGATTACAAACATTTTCGAGGTTAACGAGGCTGCCAATCCGAACTTGATATTGCTCTATTTTACTCTCAGTGTGTCACATTTTGCGCTGTGCCAGCGAAAATGCCGGAAATTCTTGGGACCGGGAGCGGGTAGTGTCCTTCGCTGCCGGCTTCTCGGCTGCTCCTGCTGCTGCCGCTGCTCCTGCCGCTGCTCCTTCTGCTTAGCTTCGTCAGCGCCATAAATGGCTGCAAAAATGTAAATAGAGAGAAGGCGATAGGGGAAAGGGGTGAAGCGCGGAGCACATTGCTCGTTACATGCTAGAGATTCCTGCCAGCGAGCGAGTTATTATGACAAACTTTGTTAATTGGAAAATATTCGTCGAAAATGCTGGCTGGCTGCCGCCACATTGAATTTACAGGATACATTCATCGCCCGGCCCGTGCCTCTGGTTTTCGGTTTCTGCGGTCCCAATGCATTCGACAAGTTTGAGCTTTACTTTTTCTCTGTCCTGTTGGTGCGGCAAAGTTTGCTTTTTTGAGCAAATATTTGCGCAGATGGCATCAGTGGAAAGTAGATTAATTCATTACGCTGCCAGCAAGTTCGTTAAAACTATGGCCCAAAGATAGAGGAACTTCGGCTTTAAATAGTTACAAAGTTGGGGAGCTTGACAAACCGCTTATGGGTAACTTTATGACAGCTGCAAATGGATGCCTTAAAGATCGGGCAAGTGAAGTCAGCCATGGAGGGAAAGTTGACTGCCGGACATTTGATGTCTCCCTTTACGGTTGGTGTTTTACATGTGATTTATAGCTGCGAAACGCGCTGTCTCAGGACATATGCTTTTTTTGTGTCATTTCGCCGTAATGTGTCTCTTTTTTATTTGCACCATACACAAGTATAATGTGACCCAGAAAAGGGGCAATAAATCGAGTGGGGGGGAGGGATGGAGTATCCATTGCAGTCGATGTCGGACTGCCTCGTCTGCTATGTCTGATCATCTTGTGGGGTTAAAAGTTGAAGCAGCTCTTGCCCAGGCAATCCATTGCAGCCACCATCGTCGTCATCGCCATCATCAATTCGTCCCTGGACTTGATGATGGTGACCGAAGCCAATTGTACTTGGCGAGGCCAAAAAGCAAAAAGCACCATGAGAACGAGTGCTAGTCAATAGCTGGTTGAGTTGCAAACAGTGAGAGAAATTCTTTTAATGGCTCTTATGGTCTGGAATTCATAAGATGCATATATAAAAAAGATATGGATTGGTACCCATTTGTCGGAATTATTCAAGCCTTAAGTAAACCCTTCCAGAAATATTTAGTTTAAGTCAATATTAATAATAACAATATAAGTGCAACATAACTATAATAATATTTTTATGTTTGAATTTTGAATTTTAACAGGAGCTTTTTGTATTAACGTAACAATTTTTAGAGTAAAGTAAATTATTTTTGGAAACCTAAATAAATTAACATATTGTTTTTGAGGAATTATTTGATAATTTCAGTTAATGATTGCCTTTCTTTTTAATTACCTATATTTTTATACATATGCTGAACAAGAATTGGATAAATAATCTAGTTATGAATGGCTTAAACTGTATTATTTCGAGACGTTAAGTTCATGAATTTCCCAGAATCAAGAATAAAGTCAATTGTTTTTTATGGAATTTATAATAAGTGCACTCGATGGCGTATACATTTATACAACTTGCAATGATATTCTTGATTATGCCCGGCATGTTTATCCGCAGTGCTGGCGTGAAGTAGACACGCTACTCGATAACAGACTGGGACGTGTCCATGGCCAATCCTCATGACGGCATTTTATTGTTTGCTGTCGGTCTTTAGCCTGTCGAGTGGGTATATATGTATATGGTTTTCCGTTCGAGTGTAGCTCTGTTAGGGCTAGATCTGCTGCTATCCGGTTTTTCCATATTTTTTCCATGCCCGGTCCTTTCCCTTCCGCATCCTTTATATAATTGTAAGTGCCAGCGATTATGTACACGCAACTATGACTTTAACTGCCGCTTGTTGTTTCAGCAGTTGGTACTTGGAGTCCGTCGAGCGTAGTTATTGTCACGGCTGTTTGGGGCGCTGCCCGTTGCCATTGACAACGTTGTAGGGGCTCGGTAAACAGCCCATAACCCAACCAACTCGCACCACCCTCCGCCCACGCACACCAGTAAAACCACATGGTTGCATACACTTGTGCACTTTCCCAACACCCACGAACTGAAGCACCCACGTCCACACCAACACAAAGTGTGCTTTCAATCAGGCACTGAATTGAAAATCCATTAACGAGTACAAGGCAGAGGCACTGGCGCCAGCTGGCACTGCCACTGGCACCCACTGTTTCTGCGAGGGATCCGGAAATCGGCAGCCAGTGGGGTCGGTCCGCCAAACTCTCCCGCACGTATATATTTTCTTGAACAATAACAAAAAACGCACACAAATTTTGTTTCCTTCTGTTCATGCTTTGGTGCTGCATTCAAGGACACTATCGCAGGCCAGTAAATGCAATTGCAACTAACACTGAAGTGCGAGGGTTTGCACTCAGAAAAATCATTTATTTTGTACTTAAAACCACAATAAGTATGTGAAGTAGGTTTATTGATAAAAATGAATACAATTAAAAGGTTTATGTTTGGGAGCTTTGTGATCGTTTATTGTTATTAAATTTAAAAAGATGGGTTGTGATGAGAGCCAGAACACAATTGAAAATGGAAACTATAAATTCACATGAGCACTTTGACTACATTTGAAAATATTTGAGAATCAATGGACTTCAATCTATTTATACCCCTGTTTTTTTCTGTTCATAATTTTTCAAAACGAAACTTTATTTTTTCGGTCTAGAACCCAAAACGCGTTGGTTTCTTCAAGTGCATTAAATAAGAACCGAAGCGAAACATAAATTCAAATAAATCAAAGATTAATCGAAGCCAAAAATCAAAAGAGCGCCTCGAAAATGTTGACCTGCGTGTGTCGACCCGTCTCCGGCAATCTGCCCAAGATGCCGCCCGCCTCGATGATGCCCGCCCACCGGGCATCGTCGTCATCATCGACAGCCTCCTTGGCCTTTGTCAGCCCCACGCGAGGAGTGGTGGTGACCTCCGAGCCCAAGCTGAATGTGAGTATCCCGGTATCTTTGAAGCCGGGGAGCAAATCCAATCTGCCCCACAACAAAAAGCCGAAATTAGCTTAAGCATAACTTGATTTATGGCTGACCACGAACGTTGACAACTTTCAGTTTGACTTTTGAGTTTTCCCAGGGAGGGTTTTCGGTTACGCCTCGGATTATAAATTGTGAAATTTCATTTCTCACTTTTGGGTGAAGGTGGATGGATGTGGGGTGACACACACGCATCCACCACCTCAGCCGCTTAATACGCTAACGATGCGAAATCTCAGCCTCAATCTCAATCTCATCCCAATCTCGGTCTATTGCAGGTGCCCAGCAGGCTGACGTCAGCCGAACTGAGGGCGATGGCATTGAGACAGCAGCAGCAAATCGACAGCCAGCACCAGCTGCTGGCCACCAAGGAGCAGCGCCTGCGCTTCCTCAAGTCGCAGGAGGTGCGGAGCGCCGTGGCCAGCGCGGAGGGCGAGCGGCTCCGCCGGCTAAGGGAGCGGGTGGAGGCCCAGGAGTCCAAGCTGCGCCGCCTGCGAGCGCTGCGGGGTCAAGTGGATTTGCAGAAGACCTACAATGTCACACTGAGTGAGTACACTGGCAAGAAATGTATATTATAAAATATGGCAAATATTATTAAAGGCATGTATTACATGAAAGATCGTATGGTCGAAAAGAACTGCGAGCGCAACTCTTAGGAATCTTTCCTGAAGCCATTTAGTTGGGTTCACGCTCCGCCAATTTTCAAATGATTTAGAAATCTCTTCCAATTGAAAGTCAAGTCAGGTTTACCAATCGAAACTAAATTTGTTTGAAATTGGTTTAAACAAAAAGTTTGAAACACTCCATGAAACAAGTCCATGGTGTGAGTTATCTAACAAAAGCAGTCAATAAAAAAGTTGTAGTTACAAAACAAAAGAATACACAATTGAGATGAAAGACCCTGTAGTTTTAAGTGGAGAAATGCACAACAGTATTTAAAACTTAATAAATTAAGTAATTAATAATAACAAATTCGTTCTTAGTTGAATAAAAAACTTCATTATTGGTTGTAATAAATTAAGAAATTTTATAGAAAAATACAATTTAAAATCACCAGCTTCAATTCCTTTAATTTTCCTTTCTGCTTCCATATTTTATCTAAAATTCCTTTAGAATCCAACGCTATGTTTTAAGGATACACCAAGATTTATTATGCAGCTTTTGTGCAGTGCAGGGAGGGGAGGAGAAGAAGGGGGGCTGGTTCACGGGCAATGGCGAAGTGCCACCAAGTGCATTTGCTTGGGATATCCTATCCGGACCTAAGCTTCCCCCTCCAATTGAGTTAAGCACTGGTGGCTGAGTGGAGAAGAGGGGTTCTTCGGGTGAATTAACATGTGTTAAAACCGTGTTGAGTGGCGGCCTGCCTCCATTCCAGAGCACCCAATTCCCATCCACTTGCCCCTCGCGTGTGTGAATTTAATTTATGTATGTGTGCCACTTTGTTGTCCTTTATGATTGCCTGTGGGCGGCATCAGCGCCGCCTGAACATGGCTAAGAAGATGTTGGCCCGCACACAGGCACACACATTTCCATACAAGGGTATTATGTTAATGAGCTGGCGCCCTGTGTTGTGGCTGTAATTAGTTTGAACAGGCAGCCCAAATCCACGAAAGGAAAACACCGGCGACCAGCAGGCGGCCGGCGATTATAAAATAGTTAGTGGGGAAAAGGAGTGGATCGGGATAACATTGTTGATTAAGCTGAGCACTCAAGGAAGAAGCACCTACTTTAGCCAAGAATCAAGTGCTTAACTACAGATTGCTTTAGCTGAGATATAATTAAGATTTACCAGGATACCTTAATACAAAACCGAGATTATACATTACGGTCATGATAATAACCATAATCTATTTTCAGTTGGTCCTAGGGTAGACCCAAATAAATATACAGAAAGTAATTCAATTCTAAGGTTATCAAATATTCTATGAATAATTTTATAAAGTAAGCAGGGTAACTAAATTGACTTAAAATTATTGTTTTCTTGTTTCGTTTTTAAAAACAATTTATTTAATCCAATTTTCAGGCAATGACTTGGACTCGATTCGTGCGCTGTTCAGCGAGAAGGAGAAGGAGCTCAGCCTGGCGGTGGCCAAGGTTGAGGCCCTGACCCGACAACTGGAGGACCTGCGACGTGACCGTCGATGTCCTGTGAATATCCTGGCCGCCGCTGGCAACGGTGTTGGCCAGGCACTTCCTCCTCAGGCATCCCGCGAGCTGGAGAAGCTGCGTCGCGAACTGATGGTGAGTGAAGAAAAGGCGGCACTAATTGGGAAATTATTTATGTTTACTTTTCATTATTATTCCAGTACCGCAATCAGTTGTCCCTGCAGCAGGATGCACGGCTGCACATGCAACGCGAAGCACTGCAGCAGCGGCAGGCGGAGCTCCGGTCGGTGGACCAGCGTATCTACGAGCTACAGACACGCCTGCAGCGCAAAAAGCAGGCCAACACCCACCATCAGCAGCAGCAACAGCAACAGCAGCAACAACAGTTGCATGTTCAGTCTGCTCAATTGCTGGCGGCAGCAGCAGCAGCAAATGCCCAGCAGCAACAGCAACAGCAACAGCAGCAGAACTTGGCCTACCAGCAACCTGCAGGCAATCTGGCCAAACACGGCGGAGTTGCTGCCCTCAAGCAGCAACTTTTGCAGAAGCAGGTCAATCAACTGGCAGCTGCTGCCGCCGCCGCTGCCGCTGGACGAGCCCGCGGCAACGTTGCCGCCGTGGAGCCTTTTATCCACACGCCCCAGAAGTCCACCATCACGAGCACGGCCAGCTATTTAAGTGGTGGGATGAAGCATGCAGCGGCCACGGCCAATACGAACCAGCAGAACCAGCTCATCCAGGACTTGACCCACGTCAAGCTGGGGCAAAACAGTGGCTTCTTTGCCGGATCCGTGCCCGTCCCCGTGGCCAGTTCGAGTAGCGAAAGCGATGAGTCCAAGTTGGCCAAGAAGCTGCTGGCGGCGCCTGCCAAAACGGAGGCGGAGTTGCGCAAGCAGGCGCAAACGGAGGCCATGGATAGTACCACACATATCTACGCGGAAGTGGGACCCAAGAAGCGAGATCGAGAGGCAGCAGCGGCGGCGGCAGCTCAGGCAGCAGCAGAAGCAGCAACTGCAGCATCCACAGCCCCGGGAGCAACATCTCCACCCGCCACTGTGAATGTCAGTAAAATCCCCAAGAGCATTTCCTCGAGCAACGCCAGCAGTTCCGCCTCCGCCCTGATTAGCAAACTCAACCAGCAGGCAACGACGAAGGAGAGCCAGGAGCAGCAGCAGTCGCAAATCAAAAAGAACGAGATTTCGGTGACCAGTGAAACGCTATCCGAACGCAACACCCAGCAGCAACTCACCGTGCACAGCATGCCCCTGGGGGCGATAAGCAAATCGGTGGCCCTCGCCGTGTCCAATGCCTCCAAGCCGCTCCAGGTGCAGGTGAGCAATCTGGCGGTGCCGCCGCGCAAGCCCATCAGCAGTGTGGCGCCCACTTCGGTGACCAGCGGCAGCTCCATACCCAAAATGATCACCTACAGCCCGAAGGTGAATCGCGTGGCGCCCAATGTGGTAATGGCGGATCCCCGTCCGGCCCTGCCGCCCAAGCCCAGCAAGATGTCGCCCACAGAGCAGCCATCGCCCGTCGAGGCCAGCACGTCAGCATCCACGGGAGCGCCAGCCTCAGCTGCCAATAAGACGCAGGCGGCGACCTTCGGACTGCAATCCCTGAACATCAACGACAACTTGCCCATCAAGGCCAAGCCACTGACCATCCGCAAGCAGCCCCTGTTCGAGCAGCCGCGCCTGAAGTCCAGCCAGTCCAGCAACAATGGCCAGCAGAAGGCGCCCCTCTTGCAGCTGCAAAATCAACGGAAGTCGGAGTCGACAGTTAGACAGCCAACGGAGGCCTTGAAATCCTCGCCGGACACCTCGCCCCAGCACTCGCCGAGCAGTGAGTCCAGCGCGGACGAAACAGATCGCATGGTGGCCACCTCCGCCAACCACACCACCACCAGTCAGCAGGAGACGTCAACATCCACGTCAGCCACTGCGACAGCCACGACAACCAGCAACATCAAGGAGCGAACGGGTGGAAAGCCAAAGCTAGCGAGAAGAGTGAGCTTCGATCCTTTGGCCCTCCTGCTGGACGCAAGTCTCGAAGGAGAACTGGAGCTGGTCAAGAAGACGGCCATGCAAGTGGCCAATCCCAGTGCGGCCAACGACGAAGGAATTACGGCGCTCCACAATGCCATCTGTGCCGGGCACTTTGACATTGTCAAGTAAGTGACACTTTCCCCCCGCTCTCTCTTTGTTCAATCCAATTAATAACATTTTTTGCTCAGATTCCTGGTCGAGTTCGGTTGCGATGTGAACGCCCAGGACTCGGATGGCTGGACGCCACTGCATTGCGCCGCCAGCTGCAACAATCTGTCCATGGTCAAGTTCCTGGTGGAGAGCGGCGCCTGCCTGTTTGCCTCCACGCTGTCGGATCACGAGACGCCGGCGGAGAAGTGCGAGGAGGATGAGGAGGGCTTCGACGGCTGCTCCGAGTATTTGTACAGTAAGTGTTCTTTCTGGGCATAGTGTGGTGCACTGCCTCAACCAATTTTCTTTTATCTATTCTAACGCTTTTTCTTCGATTCTTAGGCATCCAGGAGAAGCTGGGCATCCTGCACAATGGCGACGTATACGCCGTGTTCTCCTACGAGGCCCAGAACGGCGACGAGCTCTCCTTCCACGTGAACGAACCGCTGATCGTGCTGCGCAAGGGCGACGATGCCGAGAACGAGTGGTGGTGGGCACGGAACGCCGGTGGCGAGGAGGGATACGTGCCCCGCAACCTCCTGGGGGTGAGTAGCTGATGAAATGCCTTCACGTACGCAGGATGGGAAATAAGTGCGAACTCCTTTTTCACAGCTGTACCCACGTGTGCCGCCGCATTCGCCGCACTTCAGCGATTAGCAGTTAATACGCTTCACCATACTGAAGCGCAAGGCCGGCCGACTCATCCAGAAGCGCTACATATCCAAGTACATCTAGGGACTGTAGCCGATTCTGGGCACGTGCCACCGCAGGAGTCATCGGGGAATTATTTATCACAGCCCCATGTTTCTTTCTGTTTACTTTTTGTTTGGGAAAAGCAACACAAAGGACGAGGAACGAGGTGGAGGCCAGCAACGAGAACGAGGCTCCCCATATGCTCAACCATATGGAATGGAACCGACTGCAGCAGCAGCTTCCGCCTCAGTCATTTATCCCGACGACTGGCCTCAATTAGCCCAGCTTTCGCACAAAGTTCAGCACACATATCACCCACCCACACAACGCACCACGAACACCCCCTGCATACGTACAACCGCAAATTGAATTTCACTTAAGCTCCTTAGCTTTAAGGCCTAGACTAATAACTCATATCAGCCGCCTGCTCGCCACAAAAACTTCACCTTCAAGTTTCTGCAGAAAAAAGTTCAAATTGGAAAATGGAAAATTAGAAATTCCTGGCTGCCCACACACAGAATGTTTCATCTACGGCTAGCTGAAGGAGATTGTTAATTGCATATATCAAGTTAGTACTTAAAACTTTAACTGAACTCGAACAAAGTTCACACAAATCGAAAGAAAACATTTTAATATAGGTAACAAAACTGACACAAGGAGAATACATAACGAATCGAATGTGATTTTTGTATAAAGACGAGAATAATTTAAACAATTTGTAACGAATATGGAAATGTAAATTACCTAAAGCGGATTCGTTCACAAGTAATCGCATTATAGGTTATACTTTCTAATTTAACTTAATTTAATTACACCTAATGTATCGATTGCTTAATACCTAGCGTTTAAGGACAAACACACATAAAAATGCAAATACGTTTGAAAAATAAAAATAAAACGATTAAGAAAGCTTATGTAGAGGTGTGCTTTTATTATTCTTTGGGGATGCGATGGGTTTTCTCGGGGCCAACTCTTATACTTAAATGAATATTATTTTCAAAATAATTCCAGGTCGAACTGCAGCTCAAGTTCAGTATTCAAGATGAGGTTCCAATAGTTGCATCTGTTATTTCTCTCCGAATCTCACGAAAAGCTTTTTTGACCGGCGAACTTCAATAGTATTGTCGCTATATATCAGCTACTCATTGCTGATAGTGTAAATACAGATTGTGTTTGCTAGATGCCAATTGAGCATTAATAATCTTATCACAACTAAGCAATTTGTATTTTACAATATTAAATGAACGGCGAGCATTTTGCAGTTGTCGCTCGAAATACAAATTTTAATCTTTCGAAAAAAGGGATGGTGATCACTACAATGAATACTGGATCATAAGCAGTATTCGAGAAGAATTGATTACGTGATGACGTTCTTAACTAATCGACGCGACTACAATTCTAATATTCCAAATTAAACAATTTGTTCTTAAATATCTATGTCAATGTCTGAAACAGCTATCGATCCCATAGATGCTATGAGATATAACAGTCAGTTCGTCTGGTGCCGGTGATGCAGAAAACGTAAATGTAATTGCAAGCCCTTCCTTAAAAAGGTTATAGCTAAATTTGTTCAGAACTGCACCCATAAATACATTCCGGCTCTTTGTAACAGACCAGCTGATATAAATATGTTCTGTTATTCTCTCTCGAGAGAGAATTAGCTTTCAAGAGTATTAGCTCTCTCGAGAGAGCATAACCGGTATAGCCAGAACATATTTATATTTATAAAAGCTGGACTGCTACAAAGAGATAGGAAATACGGGGATTGAAAGAGAGCTACCTGCAAGCAGCCAGAAGCAGTTTATGGCAAGATCTTAAAGAAGAAACCACTGCTGTCTTAAAACTTCCTAAATACGAAAAGCAAAAATCTACTTTATTATTTCACTTCCTTGCATAGTTGTGAGACTTATATTTACAATTTGGTGGTCTTCAATAGATTACCGACGAATCATTTCCAATAGAAACACAGTTCTCTCGTTTTTCGCACAGCTTTTTACCTTCGCAAAACTGAAGGGGTCTCTGACATATATTTGCTACCTACAAACCCACTAAAAACGATCTATCAGTGCCTATTCGCATTCGTTCGAGAGTAGTTCACCGAGTCGGTTGTTGATTCTTCCTATCGTAAAGCAACAAGCAGAATCGAAATGGTTTGTTGACGACGTTTTAATTATATTAGTTAAGAGAGTGAACGCTTTCAAAGCTTTTTCAATACTGCCACTGAAATAAATTTAGAGGTTAATAAACTGACCGAAAAGCTTTTAATTTAAATAAATTATAGTTGTACATGTTTTTATAGGAAAATAATATCTACTTGATTCGCCCTATATTATTTGTTAGGTAATCAAGGGCAGGGTGATAAAGAACATATCATAGCAAGATCAGTGGCACACTTTGATAATACTATTATTTTATATTACAGCAATCAAGAAGTGCTCTGCACTTCTTCCTCTTCAGCCTGGTGGCACTTCAGCAACTAGACTTGGGAGCTAGCTCCCGCATTCTGGCCGCCTTCTTTTTTCCTGGGAAGAGCCACTTTATGATGACCAATGCCATTATCCGGGAGCTGGTAAAACAAGGACATGAAGTCACTTTCATCACCCCGTTCACCTTGGCAAAGGAAAATCTGGGAACGAATTACAAGGAAATCTTGATACCACAATATGACTTCTGGCCAGAAAGTAGGTGAAGCCGATACTGTAAACAATTAAATAATATTCTGTTTTTCAGTTAAGGAGATGACCAATACCAACAGCATTTTAGAGATGACCGACTTGCCGACGCTCTCCTTCTTGCGAATGGTTAATGTGATGGGTGTGCACAGCACGGAATTTGCGTTCGAGCAGCCACAAGTTCAGGCCGTTATCAATGAGAAGAATAAGGTCGGAAGGTTCGATCTGCTACTGGCAGAACAGTTCTTCAACGAGGGTGCCCTCATCCTTGGACACCTGTACCAGATTCCCATTATTACCGTGTCTACTTTTGGGAATTCCAATTACCTCAGTCAACTTTTTGGAATAGTGTCTCCTTGGTCATACGTCCCACATGCATACATGCCTTATACAGATCGCATGACACTATGGGAGCGAATTGGAAATGTGGCCATCAATGCCGCCGAGGATCTCACCAGGGAGTTCTCATACTACCCCGCACAGGATGCCCTCCTTAGGAAACACTTCTCCAAACTGCTCGATAGAGTCCCAACTGTAAAGGAACTGGAGCGGAACATCTCGGCTATACTATTGAACACCTACATGCCACTGGCTTCGCCCAGACCCATGGCCTATAATATGATCCCCGTGGGCGGACTGCACATTCAGCCGCCGAAGGGGTTACCCGAGCACCTTCAGAAGTTCCTGGATGGGGCTACCCATGGAGCCATTTATTTCAGCTTGGGTGAGTGTATTTTTACCTGTTTCTCTTAAGTCAGTTCCAAATAATAATGAAACAAATATCATCCTCACAGGCTCCCAAGTGCGCAGTGCCGATCTCCCGCCCGAAAAGCTAAAGATTTTCTTAGAGGTCTTTGGCAGTCTGAAGCAGCGCGTTCTGTGGAAGTTCGAGGATGAAACTCTGCCCAATCTGCCGGCCAATGTGAAGGTGCAGAATTGGATGCCTCAGGGCGACATCCTGGCCCATCCCAATGTTAAGGTGTTCATTGCTCATGGAGGGCTCTTTGGCACCCAGGAGGCGGTGTACCATGCCATTCCGGTGCTGGGCATGCCCGTCTACTGTGATCAGCATCTGAACATCAATCAGGGCAAGAAGGCGGGCTATGCCTTGGGCCTTGATTACCGGACAGTCACGGTGGAAGAGCTGCGAGGAATGTTGCTTGAACTGATTGAGAATCCCAAGTTCAGGAACAACGTGAAGAAGGCTTCTCGGGTGTTCCGCGATCGACCCCTGAGCGCCATGGACACGGCGATGTACTGGATTAACTATGTGATCGAGCACAGAGGAGCTCCCCACATTGTGTCTGCTGGCGTGGAACTGCCCTGGTACCAGTTCTACCTGCTGGACATTGTTGGCCTGGCTCTAGCCCTCATCCTCCTTCCAATTCTGGCTCTGATCTCCATCTGCCGAAGGAGTTCCAAATCAAAGGGCACTCCAAAGAAGAAGACCAAGAGGAATTAGAACCAAAACTTGTGTTTTATTTTTTTTAGCACAAGAAGATACAATTATGTTAGATTGTTTTTCGCAATAAATTTGGAATAATTATACCCGTTACTCGTAGAGTAAAAGGGTATATTGTATTCGTGCAAAAGTATGTAACAGCTAGAAGGAAGCGTTTCCGACCCTATAAAGTATATATATTCTTGATCAGGATCACTAGCCGAGTCGATCTAGCCATGTCCGTCTGTCCGTCTGTCCGTCTGTCTGTCTGTCTGTCTGTCTGTCTGTCTGTCTGTCTGTCTGTCTGTCTGTCTGTCTGTCTGTCTGTCTGTCTGTCTGTCTGTCTGTCTGTCTGTCTGTCTGTCTGTCTGTCTGTCTGTCTGTCTGTCTGTCCGTCTGTCTGTCCGTATGAACGCTGAGATCTCGGAAACTATAAAAGCTAGAAGATTGTCATTTTGCATGTAGATTTTAGGAGTTCCTACGCAGCGCAAGTTTGTTTCAAAATGGTGCCACGCCCCCTCTGACGCCCACAAGCCACAAGCTGTGGCCACAGTTTTGATGCTATTATGAAAATTTTAATTGATATGTATTTGTTTCGTCAATACCTATCGATTGGCCTAATAAAAGTTTGCCACGCCCACTCTAACGCCCAAAAACCCATTAAACGCTTAAGCCTGGCTAGCGCCTACATTTCCGCCTTTCATGGCCCGTGGTACCATGTCTTGGGGTAGATGGCGCAATACAATAGCGCCATCTAACGGATGACTTTGGAACAGCTGGCCAAGGTGCTCAACAGAGTCAACGTTAATTCTCGATAAGGATTTCTATTAAAGGAAATTGCGATGGTTTTCATTTGTCATTTGTGTTGTAAAGCTGCCAGCTCTAAGAGATCGCCGAATTCAAATTGATAATTTGAACTTTTTTAGCTGAGTAATAATAGTCGAGGCACTCGACTATAGCGTTCTCTCTTGTTTCAAAATAAATATGCCCCCAGCGATGGTTCACTTCGAAAATTTTGTTTGTCGCCATCTGCCGAACTGCAGTGAAAACATTACAAGCTGTGATCGAGCCGCTCTCTCAATTATATAATCCACGTTTTCAAATACCAGGTCTCTAAAGAAATTTTTGATTAGTAGGCCTTAAACGAGGCGTCCCAACATTTTAAGATAAAATTTCGCTGCGTAACGTAAAATCTTAATTTAATCCCAAATTTCTAGGTCATCTTGTTTCCGAGAAAGACAAATGGACATGTCTTTTTAACTCGGCTATTGATCCTTATCAAGAATATATATGCTTTATAGGGTCGGGAAATCTTCCTTCTACCTGTTACGTACTTTCCAACGAACACAATATAGTCAATTTGGATCTGTTAATTCCTATCTCAAGTTTGCGGCCGAATGACGGCTTCCAACATCCGACATACAGGTGGCGCCTACAATCCGATATTTATTTTCACCTAGGTGGGGCATTTTCCTCTTGTACTTGGTAGGCAGTTGTTTTGATCGTGTGGTCGGTCTTGACGTTCTTCCCGCCGGGCTCGACTATCTCCTCTTCGTACTACGCAATCTTTTTAGCTCTAAGGCATATACGCATTCCTGCGCGCAAAAAAAACTTCTCCTCCAATTTTCGAGTAATACATTTAAACAAGAAAGGAAGAAAACTTCAGAAAGCCGAAGTTTATATACCCTTGCAGTTATTAAAAAAATGAAGCTATGTCGATTTTGCGTTGCATTTTGTCATCGTTTGTATGACAGCTATATGATTTTGTTGTCCGATTTTGACAAAAATAAAAGCGTAATTC